CGCTCCGCTACCGAGAGTTAACGAGTGTGACGTAGGCTATAAGCTACGCATGTGATTGGTTACCTTTGTGATGAACATAGCTTGTGGCCAATTACATTTCATGAAAAGAAAAACCGGAACAACAGATTTTTTTTCTTTTTTTTAAACAGCGGATTATAAAGCTATGCTGATCTAAAAGGAACGAGTAACGACAAGCTTCCTAGAAATGTAGTGGAGTAAAACGTACAATATTTGTCTTTGAAATGTAGTGGAGTAAAAAGTACAATATTTGTCTTTGAAATGTAGTGGAGTAAAAGTAAAAAGTTCCCAAATAAATAACTACTCAAGTAAAGTAAAGATACTCAGAAAATGTACTTAATTACAGTAATAAAGTAAAAGTACTTTGTTACTGTCCACCACTGACAGTAACACAGTTGTTTACACTTAAATTAAAAACATTTGATCAAAGAAAAACCGGAGCTGGACTAGAGAGAGATGAATATGATTTAGATTTTTATTTCTTTGACTGTAACGACCCACAGGAGACACGACATTAACAGCACATTTCATCCCTTTAAGCAGCTCCTCTAATTCCACAGCTGACGCTGCTAAAGAGAACAGATTTTCTTTCTCGATCTCGGAGAGCAGGACTACAATCTCCGAACTCGTAAAGTTCTTCTTTTTTACACTGCGATGCCATTTATGAATGGACACTTCCTGGTATCTGAGGCAGGAAACATAGCCTTATATGGTGTTTTTGGGGTGTACCTACTGACTAACTAGGGTTACCTACTGCCATGGCAGACTAACTGCAGGATTTTTCCTGCAGTTAGTCTTTTGTGTGCATGAAAACTTTTCTAGAACAGTGTTAGTTTATGTAACTGTAATGTCTTTCTATTTTGTCTTTTCTATATTTGTCTCTGAAACTGTTGTGAGAATAGATTCAGATTTGCTTTATTGTCATTCAAACATAACATCAGGGATGCATTGTAGAAAGAAATTTGCAGTTAAGAACACCCATTCAAGAAGACACACATAACAAAACCATGGGGGAACAGGTGAACAGGTCATGTGCAACAGGGTCYCACTACCTTTACAGCTGGAAATACACAATAGGAGAGTTTAAAAATGTTGCTCTGATCCTGTGTTTACATCAGAAACACAGASTCATATGCACAAAAAAAAAGCTACAGAGCAACATAGCTGGGGTGGGGGGAGCTTGGGTTAGGTAACACATGACATGGGGCGGGGTTCATTGGAGCCAGTGACATTGAGGATGGATCTCCGTGCCAGAACCCGACCCGACCCGCCAGAGTCCATGATGTTATTTAGCTTGGTTCACCAGAGTTCAGAGTCMCCTCCTCCTTGGCCTTGGGTTCACAGGCCAGGACCAACATGGTGATGGGGTGGGAGAGAATCAAGCCCTTGTTGACATATCATCCTTGGGAAGCTTAGATAGCATGGCAGTCGAGGCCAAGCAGCTGGGAACCAATAGATAAACACAGTTGTTTTGGGACAAAACAGCCTTGAATTTTTCTGTTGCTTTTAAAGTCTTAACTGCATCTCTGAAAGTGGCAAAAAATACCTATCAGCTGAATTCAGGGTCCTTCTTCCCTCACACCGTCTTAAGCTTCATCCAGATATAATCCTACATGCCAGAGTTTCGATCCTGAGCTGTGATTCTCATCAGAATCACACCCAGTTTGTGATTTATCTCCCCCAGCAGCTGAGTCTGTGTGCTTCCAGCCCAGCAGAATCCTTCCAGTGTGCCCAACAGCTTCTCAATGGCCCGGACCGCTGTCAGTGTCTCTGTCAGTGTCTGTCAGTGTCTCTGTCAGTGTCTCTGTCAGTGTCTGTCAGTGTCTCTCAGTGTCTGTCAGTGTCTGTCAGTGTCTGTGTCAGTGTCTCTGTCAGTGTCTCTGTCAGTGTCTCTGTCAGTGTCTGTCAGTGTCTGTCAGTGTCTCTGTCAGTGTCTCTGTCAGTGTCTCTGTCAGTGTCTCTGTCAGTGTCTCTGTCAGTGTCTCTGTCAGTGTCTCTGTCAGTGTCTCTGTCAG